ACTCAAAAGTCATAAAATTCTATTTCACCAGTTCAGTCTCATTTGCAGCATTACTGTGGTCCAATCTTTCTGTTTAAATCCTAATAGTTAACATTCAACATTGTTATTGATATTTCTTGTCCCTAGCTTTTTTTTTTGTTTTTAAGGTTTTTGCTATAGGGCATGTGTGCTTGAGTGAGAGGGAAAGTGAGAACTAACGCTCCCAGGGGGATGGCCACACCACGCGGAGTCCCGTCTCCTCCACTCTCCTCCTGAAATTTTGGGCATGCACACACATGCACCTGGTGTGATTTTCAAGCTTTCGGGTTCGGGATTTGAACCTCAGTCATCCATGTGGGAGTCTAGCACCTTAACCATTATGCCATCTGCTGCACCCCCCTCCCAATCCACATTTTCAGCTGAGATAGACTCAAATGCTCAAACGCTGCTGTCGATAATGGACCTCACTTGGTCGAATATTGAAGTCACTTTTCCGAAATGGGCCTGGCCTCACCAATCCCTCACCGCACACTGATTCTGCACATACACACAAACGGCCCTCACATACACCTCTACACACCGTGCTTTACACACACACGGACACCTTCCATAGACACACGCACCCTCAGACACGCATAAACCCCTCAATCACACGTAATCCCCTACACACACTCTCCATAGGTGCAAATGCACATTCGTATACACACACACTATCAAGTGCAGATGTACCGTAAATACATCTTTATATATGCATTCTCAGGTTGCAGTGTTGATAACCGGCCAGTAAAAAACACACATCACACATTACACACTCTATACACGTGCATACAAACACAGGTGTACCCCTAAGCTTTCATGTACCGCAGTAAACATGCACTAACACACACATATTCATGTTATTCCTAAGCATGTACATTCCCTGTACATTTACATACACATACACTAAACATGTACCCTCTCCAGGAGCACACATACTCCAAATGCACACCCCTGCATCTACACACCTCACTCACAGGTGTGGTCTTCATACACACACACACATGCATATGCACATACATACATTTGCACACGAACACACACATACACCTGTATACACATACATTCACATGCACACACATACACATACGCACACACACATAC